TTGAACATGATTGAACTGAACCTGAACCTGAACTTGACCAAAGTTCGGTTTCAGTTCGGTTCATAGGAACACTAACCAGAATATTGAACCTTTCCACCAACCTATTGGTTTGAGGATGGTAGGCGGCTGATGTACGATAGTATACTCCCATCTTTTTACAGAGTGCACCCACTAATTTATTACAAAAGTGGGTTCCTTGGTCCGAGAGCAACTCACGAGGGCTCCCATGATGACAAAGAATATCATCAAAAAGAAAGGAGGCTATAGACTCTGCATCAGCCTTTTTAAGAGCACATGCCTCGGGCCACTTAGTGAGGTAATCAGCAGCCACAACTATATAACGATAGCCTTCTGGGGTTACTGGGAGTGGTCCTACTATATCAATACCCACTTGATCAAATAGTCGTCCTACTTTAATTAGGTGGAGAGGTTCTCGAGTTCTAGGTCTACCTCTTCTTTGGCACGTGTCACAGCATTTGACATATCTCTTTACATCGTTTCCTATTTGTGGCCAATAGTACCTGACCATTAATCGTTGATAGGTCCCTTTCTTTCCAAAATGCCCTGCTAATGGATTAGCATGCATAGCATGTAATATAGGTCCTACTTCATTTGGTCTTAACACTCTTAAAGGTCTTTCAGGATTTTGTGTATTGGTTTTATATAATACGTTGTTACAAACTAAATAATATCAGGTTCTATGTTTTAAAGTACTATCATTATAGTTAGGGGTAGTGTTGTCACTCGGACCGGACTAGGACTTGGACCGGACTGAACCGGACCAGACCAGACTCAGATAATCATGTCCGCCAGACAGTATATAGATTGAGTTAACCGAAATTAAGTATGCTGCAATACTACTACTACCAAATAGAGGCCTGATCCGAATATTTGTTTGCTTAATTTTTAAATATCAAAAATTGATGATGAATATCCAAATAAGTTTATTAAAAATTTGATGTATTAATGTTTAGATTATCAAATATTTTAAAGTAATTAATTATTCAATAATCTAAACATTAAATAAAGAACAATAAGTTTGTATATTTATGGGTAAGTTTAATATCGTATATACTTAGAGTGATTTGAAGAGGTAATGTCAATTTTATTAGCATTTAAGAACTTTTTTTTTTGATTTTGCTTTCATCATCTGAAGCTAACTTTTCACTTCCACCATAAATATATTAAGCACTAACCGTTCTTGTAGATCTGAATTCGTGCATTGATTTGTCAACTCAATATAGCGATCAGGAGACCAGAAGAAGAATTGGGCGCAGTCCTTTACAAACAGTTTAGTGTCCATCAAAAAAAAGGCCTTTGTCCGGTTGACATTTCTACTATAATAATATCAAGCCTATAATATCTGCTGCTTGTGTAAATTGCTGTTTGCCAGATTAAACTTAAGGAAAAGAAATATGACTCTTTTTTTTTATAGACAATCCTAGACCTGCAATATAAGACTTCGTACTTTCATTAGTGCGTTGGTCTAGCAAAATGTTACCATTATGAAAATCAGCATGAATATCATGCATAATGGTGAATATTATCTAACTCACCTTAAGTATTTGTAATTTAGTCTTCTATGTAAGTTTACTAAAATTCGTTCTTAAATATTTATAAAGACTCCCCTTAATGTTGTTTCAGTATTTCTGTCAAAAAGTCTTTGTCCGGTTGACCTTTCTGTCATAATAATACCAAACCTATAATATCTGCTGCTTGTGTAAACTGCTGTTTACCTGATCAGCCTTTAGATAATCCTAGACCTGCTATATAAGATTGTGCATTTTCATTAGTGCGTTTGTCTAGCAAAATATTACCACTATGAAAATCAACACGAATGTATCGTGCATAACAGTGACCTGAAATATCCTTAAGTATTTGTAATCTGGTCTTCCATGTAAGTTTACTAAAATTCGCTCTTAAATATTTATAAAGACTTCCATTAATTAGCATACTGATTGTTTCTGTATTTTTGATATGATTTTTGACGTACAACAAGGATAAAATGAAAGAGCAATGTAAGTAAATGTGTACGTACCTGATTTCGGTGACAGGTCAAACTCGGACATTGTCCGATGTCCGTGTCCGTAATATGTCCGTGTCCGATAAATATTGCGCGGACAATGTCCGGTGACAATTTATTGATTCGGACGTAATTCGGACACGGACATCGGACAATGTCCGAAAATGTCCGGTCCGCCAAAAATTACTCGGACATCGAAAATGTACAACACTGCCTACTGTCGTTTGGCCATCTGTGATGTATTCAACGTGATCTTCCAGCGTTCAGGTGTTTGGGTGCCTCCTGTTGAGTCGAGTGCAACATGTTGCATTCCAGTATGCTGTTTCAAGCATACCTACTGTCGTTTGGCCATCTGCGATGTATTACAACGTGATCTTCCAGCGTTCAGGTGTTTGGGTGTCTCCTGTTGAGTCGAGTGCAACATGTTACATTCCAGTATACTTGCATTGTGACCCCATTTCTCCAAGTCAATATTGTCATTTTCGTACACAGTGAATTAACAAGTATGAGCTCATTCTTTTTAGGATGTCAGAGACATTTAATTCCGTTCTCGAAAAATATTTTGACACAAAAAAATACAGCGATTGGTCAATTTTATCTATATTGAGATATGTGAAAGCCAATCAATGTTTATATGCTGATGACATCGATGGATGAGATCTACTCAAAATTTCAACATCTCAAGTGTTGACCGAATCTGCAAAAAAGACCCTTTAATAAAATAACGAAGATTATTGACAATTACAGCAATAGTTGCAACACGAAAGAGGTTCAAAAGTTTATCAATGACCTTAAAAAAAATGAGGATGTCTACAGCGCGGAAGCAGAGGAAATATATGATGATGATCAGGTCAGTAAAAAGTAGTTCGTGCTTCATAAATTTGCTGTTATCATCTGCATACATTTTTTGCTTACTGAATTAAAATTTCAGGAACGACCAGGAAAGCGACATAAAAAGGCAAGTTGATTCCTATATCACTTTAGCCACACATTATAATATTTACCCAAAACTACAGTAAAAATTACAGGGGGGGACAATTTTTGTTGGGTTCCTAAGTCTATACATCACATGGCCTATATCAAAGCATATAGCCAAAGTTTAAACGGCTACTACAGTACTATATATATTTTTAAACTCCTGTTAACTTATTTTTTAATAGTAATGAAGACGTATTTTACAATAAATTAATTTTTAATGATATCAGGATCAAAAAGTATCAAGCTCCATCACTTTTGTAGTTTCTTCCCCTTGTGGTTTATCTGAG